TGCCTGATTACATATAGAACAAAGCAAGAGGAGCTGGTTCAACCACACCAGAACCCTGTGCTCCCATGCCTGCATGCTTCTGTAAGATTTGCTTTTGTCTACTTGCTGCTGTTGACCTGCATGAGGTTAAATGATGGTTTCTTGGTCCGGCGTGGTAAAAATTGGGTGGTTAGTGAATCCAGGTCAACTTCTCCTATTGGTCATGGGGAAGTTTCTTTGATCTGCTGAGTAGGCATTTAACTTTTTTCTTTTCTCTGTCCCACATCACCACCACTGAGGAGGACAAGGGAAGCTGTTAACCCACCTCGGTCCACTACTCGGCCTCCTCGGTCCTCCGCTCTTACACTTTGCTCGTCCTTTTCTCTAATCCCTGCCCACCCTGACGGCCCCTCCGAGATCCAGGGTGAACGCTGGTAAAGGCGCCTTTTCTTTTCCAGCAATCTGAGAGGCGGAGAGCTGTCATTTGCCAATTTGGCCTGAATGGGGCGGATAGCGGATTGAATGTCGTTTTCCCACCAGGCTGCACCATCCAGACCAGCAGGAGAGGGAGGGGGATGTAGAGAGGAGTGTAATGCTAGAGTAAAATTAGAGCTTTGATGGCAGCTAATAGTGTGTGATGGGAGGCGCTGACGTGGACTTCCAGTACAGACGCCACAGGTTCCCCTGTACTCTTCCTCTCTCCGTCTGACTCACCTGTAAGATTACGCCAGCCCTGCCTACCGTCTCAGAGCTGTGATTTCACCCTGAACAGTGTAATTATACAGCTCCAAATCCAAGCCTCCCCAAGTCAAAGGGCCAGAAAGGTCTAGTTTCTTTCTCTTTATACACACTCATGCATGCAATAAGTGTTTGTGCAAAAGGGAAGTTTGCAGAAAAAAATATTACATTTCGTATTTCTTGTTCAGTTACTTCTGGGAGGAAATAATTTACACAGATGTTTACAAAAAGTTTTTTTGACTTTGAGTTCTGATTCAAATCATGCCCAACCTCCTTGTTTCTGATGTTCTATTATGTACCTTTTCAAATTTTAAGATTAATATCTGATCTTTTTCCAAAAGGTAAACTGTACTTTTTCTATATATGGAGTGAATAAACACTTTTTTTCCCTAAATGGTTGAGACACTATAAATGAAGTCCTTTTTTAACTTTTTAAAATATGAAGCTCACTAGATTGAAATGCACTGCCTTGGCAAATCATGCAATTTTGTGGGCTGAAAGCCCTAAAAAGAAAAGGTGACGAAGTATTTGGACAGAGACATGGCTGAGCAAATGTGGCTACTACGGTCTGTCAATTTTACAGAAAGAAGTCCAGTTCACTCGCACCCCCGACATACTTCCGTGTTTTCATCTGAGAGGAAGAAGAAGAAGAATCCTTGCCCACTGAGCGATTTGCCCACGACGGTCAACTGAAAATCAAACATGTTTGATTTTCTCCCGACCTCAGGATTCCTGATGGGGAGGCGCTGTAAGAGAGGCTGATCGCCCCTCGTTACCCCCTGTACACTTCAGTGTGCACAATCAGGCTGAAAGTCGGCCCGATCGAAAATTTCTCGCACGACTGGAAAGTCGGCCCGAATAGGGCAAAAAATCACACAGTGTAAGCCCGGCTTAATAGAGTCCACCTGTGTTTAACCTGATCTAAGTATGCAGGTGTTTCGTAAAGGCCTCAGGTATTAGAGGACATTATTGAGCAAACAGCATAATAAAGAAGAAGGAAACAATTATTAGGGATTCATCTGTGGAGATCTTCGACTCAAGGCTTTACTCTAAAATAATATACTACACTTTAAGAATTAAACATTTTACAGTGCATCCCTCTTCCAAAAATTGTTTAAATGCAAAACAATATGCATAGTCAATCTTACTGCAAAAAAAACAAAAAAAAAAAAACATAAAACAACCACTATAGTGAAACACAGGGAAATAGGTCTTTCGTCATATACTACCATCCTGATCTCTTTTTTTTTTTCATTTAGCAATAACTCAGTCGTATAACCTAGTCCATGGTACCACCAGTGGCCCATTTTTTCCAGCCTAGGCTGCTCTACAAAATCCTACAGAATTTAGAATTAGCTTGCTTTTTTGTTTTGCTGCCTGTATTTTATAATTAATCTAAATCAGAGCTACATTTCAGCACATAAAGAGTTGAGTGAATGCATGGGACAGCTTCTTAACTTATGGTTACATTTTAGGAAACTGAAATTGACTGAGCAAGTAAAGAATGCAAAGTCAACTAAAAAGAAAATATATTCCACCTTCATAACTCTTAAAAAGAATTACGAGATATTATTTAAAGCATGCATTTTTGGTGCAGTTTATCTAATTTAAATGTAAATAAAAGGAAATTTAATTAGCTCCTTTCAAAGTATAAAAAAAGAATCACTAAATGTTTACAACAAGCAAAAAATGATACATGTAAGAAATTTGTTAGAAAATGGAAATCAAATGAAAGTAGGAGAAATATGATCTCAGTCGTTTGGGTAGGTATGTCTACAACATCGGAAAAACTTTTCTTTTCTTGTGAAAAAGTGCACGCTTTCGTCCTTAGTGCATGTGAAGATGCTCATAACAATATTAAATTCCCCTTTTAGCTTGTTTGGTCGTCTATGTCTTTCCTTTTAAAATACTAACCCTTTAATGCTTTTTTCTTCTTTTTGTTACAAATTTACCACAAGCTTTAATTTATGGATATCTTGTGTGATAGACCAAAACGGAATAAAGCATAACTTTAAAATGCAGGAAAAAAAGATTAGATGTTTTCAAAAATTCTTCCAATAAAACTAAAAAGAAACCTTATGGTTGTATTTAGGCTAATTTATTGGCTGTCTGTACCAACTTTACATGGTTTAGTTTTTCCCCATTTTCTTTTCAAAATAGTGTTGCAAAATGGAGTTTGCAAACAAAAACAGCTATAGAACTCTTATGAATTGGAAAATAAATATCACCATGATCAACAGGCTGTCAATATGTGTTATGAAAAAAAATTACACCCACCCATGGATAGCATGAAGATGCATGTTTTCTAGGTATTGTGGTGTTGTAAGCCTATGTTCTACAGCACAAAATATAGATGTCTCAAGCATTAGCCAACCCTTAAGGTCGTGATCTCAAGCCTCAAGGTTTTGTCTGTAGGTTGCACTTGATTTGAGAGGAGTCTGGCTGCAGATCTGCACTGTCACGACCAAGAGCTGCACAGCTATACTGTGAGGTCTCCTGCACTGTTAGAACCGGGATTTATTTGAATACTTTCAAATTAATAGCAAAGATGGTTCGAAGTTTTTCTAAAGTAAAAGCTAGCATTGCTAACCTCCCAGTGAACAAGCTTCCTTTCACAGAAAAGTGTTATGCTTGAAACTTATGTACATGCACAATTTTACTCTCCACCAAACTCCTATCAGGGAATAATAGATATGTGCTACATAGTCTGTATTTGGATCGCTGGATGGAAATGGGCATTTTCTAAACGACAATGGAAGTTGGCTGTCCATGAGGATTTTTGCTTACTGTATAATTTAAACTGCTCCTATGCTCAGTTTAACACTGTCAAAAACTCTAATCCAGCAGCAAACATGTGCTGCACGCTATTTCCGAAGGCTTTGAATACAACTTCTGGAATAAACTTCCGATCCTCACAGTGCAGGAGACCCCATTTTGCAGGTCTCCAATGCAGGTTCCTGATAGTGGGGGTTTGGAGATTTGGCTTCCTCCCTCTCCCCATCATCCATGGCCAGCTTCCATGCCTGAAACAAAGCAAATCACCAAAGCATGATGATACCACCACTGTTGGGTGATGTATTTAAAGGGATTTCTAAGGAGCTCTTAAATGAAACTGCCCCCTCTCCACTTAACCTTATCCATAATCTCTCTCTGCTTTGTTCTTTTATCCTCATAAATCTGTTTAGTTACTAATGTGAGACTGAATTACACACAAGCAGATTCCTACTACTAATAAATTTGTTGATATATTTTTTAGCATTTTTTGCAGGCAATTTTCTTTAACAACATATAAGTGTATACAGCTGACCAAAAATGCATAAAAGAGTTTAAAAACTTGTATCTTCTTCCTTTGAGTTCTTATTTATGCTTTACTTTGTGTTGGTCTGTCATGTCCAGTCCAATAAAATACCCACATTCTAAAGATTGAAATTTAACGCTTTAATCCACACAGTAATCACTCACACTTTGCTCCCCTCACCCTGCCCCCACTACAAGAAACATAGATGCCTAGAACATAACACTGGGACCTGCCTCAAGGCCATCATAGGCTCACACACACATTTTCACACCTACATCGGATGTATTAATATCTCCCCAGATTGTAGCGGCACTGTGATGCTTTGACATATGTGCAGTTAAAGGCATCTTAAATGTCCGTATCAATCTGGGGAGCTGTCAGCTTAACAATGATTGAAACAGAACACCTTCGCAGGCGTCAGGCAGCATCATTCTCATCCATGCAATGTTAGAGAGATAGACGGCTCTCTGCAGGACATTCCATTGGATCAGCCGAGCTAGAGCAATTCAGGGGGAAAGATTGCTGGAACTTTTAATTCTGTTGTGCTGGCACAAAGATTATTGTTCATAAGCCAGAAAGTCAATATCCTGTTTGATTTAATTGATTTCCTTGTATTGCTCTCTCTTAGTAAAGCTTATATGCTTGTGACCGTGCTGCAGGATTGTCTTCTTCCTGCTGCACATAAAGCATAATACTTGGCTCTCCAGAGAGGGGAGATGTTTTGTTTTTTAGAGTCTTTCACACCAGCCCTTCCTATTTCTTTTTGTTAACACAATAGCCATCTCTTTTTTCACCCAGTGTGGAAACCCTTTCAAACGGGCAGCTCCAGGTCAGTTTCCTTGCCAAGTTTTGCAGCCTGCCATGTTGTCTATTCTGCTCAGCTATTTAAAAAATGTTGAATATCAACAATGGCTTTCAGTGGTGCATTGTCAACTTTTGTATGAAACAATCTTGGCTGAAAGAGATGGGTCCCAGAGCAGGGAGAGCTCAGCTGCAGTGTGCACTGCCCAAAGAAGTGACTGCCCAGCACTCTCAATGTTTCATACTTCTCTGCTGCGCCTTGGTTGTGCTGTTTGAAAGGCCGAGGCTAGAGTCTGAGCTGAGGTTGGTGTCTGGCATCTTTCTGTCCTTGGAGTGCTGCTTTTGGGCCTGCTGACAGTCAGCTGCTGAAGTCGGATCCAGCAGAGAAATTTGAAGGCAGAGGAACCCTCGGGAGCTGTGAGAGATGGGTGAGTGTCCTGAATTTTTTTCTGATCAGAGTGGGAGGAGGTTAGTGGGAAAGAGTGGAGAGGAAAGGGAGGGGGCATTCAGGAAGACGATGTCGGGGAGCTTTGTGTTCTTTAAGTTCCACTCTGCCCACATGCGCTGAATTGTAAAGGTGATCCATTGCTTCACATTTGGAAATTAGATATTTTCACGTTTCACCATTTTGATCAGATTTTATTTTTATAAGAAACTGAGCAACTAATCCCTTCCTGTGCAAAAAAAAGAAAAGAACTAACAGTCATTTTGATATTTTAACAATATCCATCATGCCTCCCATTTTCAAGACTCATCCCATTTTGATATCCAGGCTGATGCATGAGTGACTTTAAGTAGAGCTCTGTATTTATGTGTGTATTCTTAAATAAAAGGATGAAAGCAGGAGTGAGAGGCTTGCTTCCAGATAATAGTAGCTTAGGCTCTTTGTCCTGCTGACAGCCAGGAGAGGAGCAGAGGCTGGAAGTCTCCCTGATGCAACCGGCAGCGTCTTGTATGTTTCATTGACATATCAGTCTGTGGGGCAATGAGCCGTTGCTCCTGCACCCCTCGGCACACTTGTGCTTCACATTTGTCGGAGGTGTCTTTATGGAAGTGCAAACAAGCGGCACGACAATCTAGCTCTTAGGTGTTGCTGAGAAAGAAAATTTGATGCAAGAGGAATTTAACTCACTTGATTTTATTAGTGCTGCAAACAATGAAGTAAGAAATGCTTTACTATCAAGTTCTAAATCAAATTTTGTCCTTATGTTTCCAGGATTTTTGCACAAAAAGAAAAAAAGCAAATTACTACATTTATTAAAAACATTACAAAAACAACTTTATAGTTTTTAAGCAGAATGATAAGACTATTTTATTCAATTTAGATATTTTTGGTCTCAGATTAAATAAAAAAAATATATATATAATGATAATAGTAAAAAACGTAAACATTTCGTTTAAAGAGGAAAAATCCCTTGCTGTTTTAGGAAACTGAGTGTTGTCCTCTGCCTCACCTCTTTGCGCTCAACCAGAAGCAAGGTGACTAAATTCATCTCAGTTCAGCCCATCCATTATCTTGTCAACACAGCCAGCTTTCCACCTTAGTTTGCTCTCCTCCCAGAAGACTTGCTTTAATGAAACGCAAAGTAATCACCACACTTATCTCGTCATGCTCAAGGTAATTAATATATTTAGAGGGCGATGGCTAACTCTTAATTAAATTAAGACCCTTTTAATGAGACCTTGACTAGGACTGAATTTATGGCCACTATCTGCTTTATCAAGTGCTTGGCATGCAACAGAGATTAGTCATTTTGTCCCAAATCACAAGCAGATTGCACATTATATTATTCATGATTTATATATCAATTTATGCTTGTTTGTTTCTTATTTGGGGTTAATAAATTACCTCCTATAATTTTCTTCTTTAAAAAAATCCTAGCTTCTGCAATTAATGCTCAGCAGCTATGCTGCTGTTACATTTTCATTCTGGAGGGGACTACAGATAACAAACTCTGGGATATTAATCATATTACAAAATTGGTTGTATCTAATTAATTACAGTAACACTGCAAATTAATTGTGGATTCTCACAATATTATCTTAAACTAATGAAGCCCTGACAAAGGAAGTGTTTCATTTTTTTTTAAAGGAAGAGGAAGCTAGATTAGTGGGATCTCAATTATTGCTAAAACAAAAGAAGGCTGCTTGCTCGGGCACGGTGCAAAGCAAAATGTGACTATTCAGCACTTTCCCCAAAACAAAAAACGAAGAAAGTTTCTTTTGTTTTAGTAAAAATACTGAACATGGCAACGATTGGGCAGATACATGGGGAAATAATGAGGGCTGTAATTAACTGGCCAGGCAAATAATGGTACCTAAAGTGATCATCAAATAGAGGTGGTTGATAATGCCATTCAGTTTTTAGGCATCAGACCAGGCTTAGCCAAACATGTAAGCAATCTTTATTCATTTCAGCAGCTTGCATCTGTGATGGAAATGCATGTATTGAACATTAAACTCAAGTCTATATAAATCACATGTGATCAAAGAAGTTCTTTGTCTGAAAGTTCACCTATATGTGGTCATGTTTAATTTTAAATTTTAAAAGAATTTTTTTTTAACATATTGTGACAGTGTAGTTTTTATGAGATAAATAACATGTTTGAACCTTTAAGTGAACTACCGTGAATCACTATGTTTTATCTTTTTGCATTTTTCTCTTCAAATAAAACAATCCTTTCTCTTTATTATAAACTCATGTTAGAACCTTCTACTTGAATGAAAACCTTAAAGAATGAATCTTGAAATTGAATATGAAGAAGGAAAACATTGCAAAAATATTCACTTTAGTCCATCTGCCATGTATTTAATAATTAATGTAGTTGGAGTGCTGTGGAATGGTCTTCTTCATTCAGCTTTGGTTTACAAGTTAAACACATTTTTTATAATCCATGGGCAAGAAAAAAAGCCAACCCCGCCCCCCCATCCCCCGATAAAGTTCTGCTTAAGACCCCCTACATACTGGGATCCGCTCTGCATTGGATATCAGAATTTTAATGCCTTAAGCAGAAAAGCATCCACAGGTTGTAGTTGAGCTTTTTTAATGTCATGTGCATTTTTTCCCCTGAGATGTTAACAAAATGAATACCCTGTTTAAAATATTCTGCTGTATACTAACGTGCACCTTTTTCCTTCCCTTGGTGGAAAATCTACCACAAAGATGTCTTTGTGCACCTTGTGGGAAGTAGATTTTGCTTTAGGTATATCCTTCTTTTAAAATGGTTATCAAAAAAATGCAAGTTTGTTTAATTCCTTATATTCAATGAGCTGAATATGTACCCTTGATTCAGATCATTTTGAGACAGACATCAAGTTTATTTTAATCATGAGCTTAGCTTATTGTCTGTTTTCAGTGTGCTTTTAAGGAATAGAATTAATATATTTTTATTTGACAAAATATAACAACTTGACCATAATCCATAAAACTTTTTAATATTGATAATTATAAATTAAAATCCAAGGTGATATTTAATTTCTGGATTTTTGTTAAAAGCATTGAAAAAACTAAAGAATCTTCAAAATCTAAAATTAACTCACAAAAGTATAGAAATCCTAAATGAAAACCCCCATATTAGCGCCTTAAGTTCTGACCTGAAGGGCCAACACAGAAGTCATGTCATGCAAGAGCGCCTTAACCCAGTAGCTCTGAGGCAGAAGCATATTTTCTGAATTTTTTTTGCTTAATTTAACTTGTATAAAATTAGCTTCAAATGGATGGGAACTTATAATTTACTTTGATGTTTTATTTTTCATTTAACGCATCATATACCAAATGTTGGATATGTTTCCCCTAATCTGCAAAGCAAAGGGTCAGTAATCATTGTATCTTAATGAAAAAAAAATGTCTCTACTGATTTCCTCTCTTGTGATATAATTTCATTTGGCTTCATTAGCCAATAACCACAGGGGGAAAATGCTTTTTGGCAATTATGAGAATTGGAGGGTCAGTGAGAATGGATTTTCACCCTGCTGCACATGATTATCTAAAGTGGCCTTGTCGCAGCGATTAACCCTGGGTCCATGTGTGTGTGGATGTGTGTGATTGACTGAGTTTGAAATGTGCATCCGTAAAATGATAAGCAGCTATGAGCCAAAGGTGATGAGGTGAAAAAACTGTTCCCCTTTGCCTGAGTGAGATGGAGCACAGTGCTGGGTGGTCACGCCTTGTCTGTTTGCGACAGTGGCGGGTTAAAGAGATACACTGGGTCTGTGTCAGCGGCCTTGGCCTCACACAGGCAAATAATGAGGAAGGACATGCTTGGCTGCTGAGGGAGAAAAATAAAAGAAGCTGAAGTTTGAAGCAGAACTCCTGTGTATTGTTTCTGGAGGGACGAGGTCGATGAGCAAGACGCCTACATTCCTCATAGTGGTACGAGGTGAGCCTTGGTGTACAGGGGATGACACTTGTGAGCCAAACTAAGCAACAGATAAATCTCTTACAGCTGAGGGAGGAATGCAGTGTTCTCCATTAGTCCTCCAGACAGATGTGCACACTCCACTAAAGCTCTGAAAATCAATACATTTGTCCTCAAATTGTGTGTTTTGCTTTTATGTTTGAAGGTCTGGTGACAGCTCCTTTTTCTGATGGCTGAACCTCCCCTTACATCAGATGGACCAGCAGTCAGAGATGATGACCTGCTTTGGTCGGACATGAGGTACATTAAAGAATTTTACGCGAGCTTGGTGGTTTAAAAAATACCTTTTAACACAAGCGACTCCAAATATTTACTGATTCTGAACCAGTTGATCGTCAAAACATTGATTTGTTTTAGGAGATCGAATTTTAAAGATTAAGCTTTAATTTTTCAGATTCATTAAACACAATGATGTATTTCATTATTATGGCTCATATCTAAAAAAAATTAAACAAAAACTTGCAGAATATTTTTATAATATAAGAGGAATAATGCAATATATTTTTATAAGGGGGGGATTTCAATAACCTATAGAGTTGGATGAGTTAATAATAGTTAATAACACTGTAATTAAAACATGTAAAACAAACAATTTATTCTCCCAACCCAATTCTGAATGAGAGACCTACTACTTGGGCTCAGAAAAGACACGACCGGTCTGTTTCAGGGGCCAATTTTCTCTTTTCCAATTAACATTTAATTTGCTCTGTGTTTTGGAAACCTAGTATAGCAATGACTGGTTTCAACTGTCTGTAGAGAGTCTGTTGTCGAGAGAAAGAGACCCCAGAATCAACAATGCAGCTGAAAGTTGCTATCAAGCAACCATGGGCATCATTACACGTCAGCAGAGCATTCATGCTAAACTGTATTAATCCAGTAATTCATTCATAAAAGTCCCAACAAAGTTCTGAGGGCCTCTGATTAACAGATGGATGGACTTTTCAGCAGATCAGCATTTGTGCAAGAATGTATTTTATCATTATTAATTTTCTGACATACTAAATACAAAAACAGTGAAACAAAGAAAATAAATGCTTGATATATTAATGATAATATCACTATGTGTGTAATTAATCTGTATAATAAGTTTTACTTTTTGAAGTTGATTACTGAAATAAATATTTGGTTATATTATTTAATTAATATATTATAATCTCTCAACATAAATTATGTTCTGTATTTAATAAACACTAATTCCCTTTATGTTTGACCAGTCTTTAAATTGTCTTAATCTATATTGGTGTGAGTGCTAAAAAAAAAAAAAAAAAGCCTTAATACTGTTGTTTTTTGCATTTTTTTTTTATTGAAATGCAAAATCTCTAAATATTTGTTAGTCTGCATTTGATCTGTGTTAGTATTGGTGAAAGTGCTTTAGATTTTGAACTAGAGTTGAATACATGAATTTAAGATTTCTTAAAAACAACAACAAAATTGCCTTTATATTATCAGGAGTTTGATACTTGTAAACCAGAGGCTTTGTTTTTTTTTCTGCCTTCATTAAAAAGCCATAGTGCTCTGCAATATTTCTTACCCAGTGCTTTCACTTTGCACAAGAGAGGGTGGTGCCTAATCCCTATTTACTGGAGAGAAACTAAAAGTAGTCTGACAGGAAAATTTTCCTTCAGTGCTCTCCTATAAAAACAAGTAGAAACCTTTGATCCCATTCCCAACTATTGGTTGGTGAAGATTATAATTTGCCATAAAAGGTGAATCAAATGGGAGCCTTGTTGTCACAGGGATTTAATTTATTTATATATTCAGTCATTCATTTTGTGCAAAACTATGTTTAAAAATCATGTAAAGATCGTTTATTCGAGGTGCTGACGTTGCCTTATAAGATGTATTTATTTTCAGGGTGGCAGGACTTAAAATATAAATGTAATTTAGCCCATCTCATGATTTATTTCAATAAGAAAGTACAACACAGAACACATCAAGATGTTTAAGATGTTGAAAATTAAACCTTTATCATTTTTTTCTCTATAAAGACAAACAAAAACAACATTTTTTGCAGATAATTCTTTCAATAAAATAAATAAAATCGTAGAAATGTATATATTACAAATCTGACAATACCTGTTGACTGAATGGGTATCACCGATCCATTCATTTTCTTGAAGGCACTCTGGTCTATTGCTTACTGCAAAAAAATCTAATCCCAGAGATTAAGTCAAACGCCAGGAAAGAGAATTAAAATGTTCCTTGACTACATTACAGATTAAAAATCCTAATCATTAAAATGCATCATTTTTATTACCAACCGCGGCTCTTATTGGTCAGATAAGTCAAATTATCATTAGGACTACCAGCGCAGCTTTGTGCGACAAAGAGGCGATAAGACCAACACTTTTATTCCTTTAAATGACCCGTGAATATTATTTTTACCTGCGCTGAACTGGGGAGGACGCAGCCATTCACGCCACACAAAGGGAACAGCAGACCGTGCGTAAATCGCATCTTCATTTGCATCCCCGGTCCCTGCAAAAAAAAAAAAAAAAAAAAAATCATGCAAATCTTAATGAGACAGTCTCCATTGTGTTTGTAATTGAAAAGCCATTCTTTGTTAATTACTGTTTCTCAAAGGGACCCCGTCCACTGGCCACTGAGCTGAAAACAAAACTGTAAGAAAGAAGTTACTGATGCCGGATAGAAAATGTAGAAAAATGTGTTTATCGTTCATTTAAAAATTTACTTCCAATTAAAATGAACGTGCTGTGGTAGGATAGGTCCAAAATAATTAAAAGAACACATCCAGCAAATAAATGCACTAAATTAGATTCAATATATAGCTGAGTTTATATAACGTCTGAAATAATAAATAATGTTGCCTGAACTTTCTCAGAGGAGAACATTTTTTATATACTTATTTTAAATTTAAGCTTTGGGAAACGTCCTGATTAATTTTATTACATATATGTATGCTTAATCTGTAATAATAATAATAATAATAAAAAACTATTAATTTTAGTAGTTTTAATGTGATTGTCAGATTTTACTATTAAAGGATGGACTGGGATTGTGTGTTTCGCGCTGCATGAGCTTGATTCTAATTGAAAAAGAAAAATAGAAGATTAGCAAAGAGTGAGGTTTAAGTCAAGACTTCCACATATTTCCCAACATTCAGCAGCAATGCACCCTGAGAGCCCCCTCAGGGCTGTCAGGGCTTGTTGAGCCTGAATCAGAGCAAACTGTGCTGGTGGTCCCTCCGTTCCTTAATTAGGAAATTAGCTGCACAGAGACCCTCATTATCAAACTCCAGGTTACTCCTGACTATATTCTCTCTCTCTCTCTCTCTCTCTCTGCTACTGGTCAATTTCCATAAGGAGATTACAAGCGGATCAGCATTGAGATTTGCGCAGATAAACAAATAACCGGTCCCTGAGAATTAGATGACTACTAATTGGACGTTAGTTTTATTGCCCCCGTGCTGTTTGTTCCGCCCCATTGAACGGGAAAATGGAATCCGTTCGCTGATGTCTCTTTTTGAGCGGATTTCTATGGCTCAGGACAAATACTACAGTTGGATCTATCCCCCAGTTCTGCCAGAAAACACTTTAAGTGTCATTTAGTCTAATTTTCAGACATATCTTAAAAAAAAAAAAAAATGTATACAAAGCAAAATTTCCTTTTGTGGCTTGTAAAAAAGGCAAGAGTTTCATTTGACTTTAAATTAGGGAGAGAAATTCAACTAATGTGTTATGCTATAAATTAAAGTCGGAACAGTTCAAATTTGAAAAAAGGAGCGCGTCTCGGTTTACTATTTTTTTGTGGCGCAAAACTGCGCGTTTTATTTGTTTAATGCGCTCCTCCCGTAATGCCGCGCTGATCAGAGCCCCACAGTGGCTGCATTTTAATCTTGTAAAAGCTCCAGGAGGTGAGTTCGCTCCAAGATGCACCCAGCAGAGCTCCCGTAGATACTCAGGTGTTAATCGCTCGTTCCTGATGGTCGATTCGCTTCTGGATCATTAGCAGGTGTGAGATGTTTCACTCGCTTAAGGTTTAGTTTCAGGAGAGAGGGTCGTTTGTAAAGGCCACACATGCAAATAAAAAAAGCAAAGGGGGGGCTCTCCATGCTGAACGTTTTGCGCAAACAGCAGCTGACAGCGCCTTTAAAAAGGGGCTCAACTAACTGACTAAACTTTTCCTCATGGGACCAAAAAAAGAAAGAGCCCTTCTCCTCCACAAGAGGTCGTTAATGTATTAAAATTCCAAAATAAAGGGTCCCTGAACGCAGCAGAGATTTAACATTAATTTAAGTCGTATTTCCTTTATAACCCTGCATTTTAAAAGAGATGAACCGAATTCAAAATCAAAATGAGTATCAATTCTAGTATTTTAAATTCAAAAAGCATGTTTGCATGCTTCATTGCATTACAAAAAAAGTTTGATAATTTCCTCCCCAGGGATATTTATGTTGAATATTATCTAATACAAAAAAGGACTAATATAGAAAAAGTCCCGTAAAAACTAATCCGAGTCTGTCCAAAAGTGTTTGAACAAATAGATAAATAGATCAGTTGAATCTGTTTAAATGTGTCTAAAAACGAACTTAATGCAAACTTTCTATTGAAATGATGTAGCTATAATATTATTCATAATTTTAAAGTTTTTTTTACTTAAAAGTCATCAATATAATTTCAAATAAAACATTTCTAGCTATCTGACATAAATAGTTTTATCTAATTTTATGTCCGCTTAGGTCTCAACCAAATGTAGCCTTTTGGCACAACTTAAAATATTTTACTTCTTAAAATGATCCGAAATCTAAGTTAAATCTAAGTTAATTTTATTATAGCCTATGTATCAAAGTTTAATTAATAATTATGCTAATACTGATGATTATAATAATTGTGTCCCCATGTAAAAAAAATGAAAGAGAAAAATATGCTCTCTAGAATAAAGTATATATTAATTAGAGAATAAATCCCTGCATTTCCAGTCTAAATTCCCATCCTGTGCTTCTAAATGCTGTCATTTCTGAGCCCTTGTAGCTGAAGTGCGCAGCAGTTTTAAATCTTCACCTCCTTCCCTCCCCCTCCAACCTTAAAACGCACTGAAGCGCTCGCAGGCCGGAGCTGCGCTCTGATTGGTCTGCTTCCTCTCATTGTCAGCGCGTCAATCCGTATCACATGGTCCGGCCTCTGGGCCTATTAACACATGAGCTTGGAGAACAAGTTTACAGACTTGTGTTTGAGAGCCGAGAGGATCTGAGCTGCTCTGAGCGGACACAAACCAGAGGCACCTGCGCACACTTGCTGCTCCAGGCAGAACTTTCCGGCGACCTCTTTGACTTTTTTTTTTTTCTTAGAGAGGGTTTGTGAACTTTTATTTATTTATTTTTTTCATGTGCGTGTGAGAGATCTACAGAAGTCGTCTTAATGTATAACATGATGGAAACCGAGATCAAGACCCCGCTCCCGCAGTCCAACTCGGGCTCGGCGCCGGGCGCAAAGAACAGCAGTGCCAGCGACCAGGAGCGGGTGAAGCGGCCGATGAACGCTTTCATGGTCTGGTCCCGGGGACAGAGAAGGAAGATGGCCCAAGAAAACCCCAAAATGCACAACTCTGAAATCAGCAAGCGGCTTGGCGCTGACTGGAAACTTCTGACAGACGCCGAAAAAAGGCCGTTCATTGACGAGGCCAAGCGTTTACGCGCAATGCACATGAAGGAACACCCGGATTATAAATACCGGCCCCGCAGGAAGACCAAGACCTTGCTCAAGAAAGACAAGTATTCTCTGCCTGGAGGGCTGCTGGCGCCAGGAGCCAACCCCGTCAACAACTCTGTGTCGGTGGGCCAGCGGATGGACGGTTACGCGCACATGAACGGCTGGACGAACAGCGCGTATTCCCTGATGCAGGACCAGCTGGCCTACCCTCAGCATCACAGCATGAACAGCCCGCAGATCCAACAGATGCACCGGTACGAAATGGCCGGCCTTCAGTACCCGATGATGTCCTCGGCGCAGACCTACATGAACGCGGCGTCCACCTACAGCATGTCTCCAGCTTACACGCAGCAGAGCAGCAGCGCCATGGGGCTGAGCTCCATGGCGTCCGTGTGCAAGACGGAACCCAGCTCACCCCCGCCGGCCATCACGTCCCACTCTCAGCGGGCGTGTTTGGGGGACCTGAGGGACATGATCAGCATGTACCTGCCCCCCGGCGGGGACAGCGCAGAGCATTCCTCCCTGCAGAGCAGCCGGTTACACAGCGTCCATCCACACTATCAGAGCGCAGGGACTGGCGTCAACGGGACGCTACCTCTCACCCACATCTGAAGAAGAAAAAAAATAATTAATAGACTTTCAAAATGTTCTTCGGATACTTGAACTTTTCTCGGTTGCTGCAGCGAAACGTTCAGCAGATTCGTTCAAGAACAATTTGATCTGAAATCCCTGACGCGTCCGTTTGATGAACTTTAAATGGACCGAAACTGAACGCTGAGCCCAACTCCACAGAGGCTTTTTTTTGTTTTTCATCACAAAGTAGAAGCAATCAACCTGTGTAGAAGAATTGGACTTCTATATTTTAAATAAATGCCATATTTTCTCGCTTTGAAAAAAGGCATGTGGCCTCATGAAGGGGCTGGTGTATTTCAGAAAATAAGTTGGATGGACACTCTGTTCATAAATGTTTACACTTAATTTGTAGGATGTCAGTCGTCTCCACTGTGTTCACAGCCTTTGTAGATTCCCCTTTTTTTCTTTTATTTTTTTATTTCTTCCCCAACATGAACTAGGTTAAATAAAATGTTAAAACTGTGCCGGTCGCAAACGCAAGTTTTATTTATAGCAATTTTTTTGTTTTTTTCCTTTAATAGCTTGTGCAACCAGATGTTTTGTCATGTGAAAATATTCAACATTTTTTTTTGTAAATCTGTTTTTGTTCTGTGATGTTCTTTTTTTTTTGACAGTGTCATGTTTACTCATTTATCCTGAACGAAAAAAAAGGTTTATTTAAACTGACGTTTCTACGTATTTTAAGACCATCCTCTATTCTTAAATGCTGAATAAATTTTTAAGAAACGTAATTTTGCCTCAGTGTTTTGTTTAAAAAATTAGAAGGGATGTTAAAAGGAGGGTTTTGTGCAAAATGAGGAAAAATGTCTCAAAGATGTGTGAAAAACTGAATTGACATGTTGTGAAAATGATATACCTTTAAAAATATGCAATCTATATTTTTTTTCATTAAAATTTGTGAAGATCTATACATTTTTAGGCATGACATTAAAAATTTTTTATTTTCCAAATGAAAGTGTTCTTCAAAGTTTTAGAAATATTTTAAATAAGTATTTAACTTGTTATTTAGAGCAATTTACATTCAAGCTACAGTCTTCTACTTTACAGATCTATATTTTTAGATTTTTCATAAAGTGCTGTTGTTCCGTTCTTTTACTTCATTTTAAATTCAAGCGCTTTTTAAAAATAAAATCTAGCTTTTATCAGAGTTAAAGCCAAGCTGTATAGCTTCACTTTACATAGGTTAACTATCAAGTTAACTTGTAATTCATTTTCTTTTCATTTCATTTTTAAAATTAATATTATTTCAGCTTTTTAAAATATAAATATAATTATCAATATCTTGAGTCTTTAGGTCTCCCATAAAAGAGTAAAGTAGGAATTTTCTTTTAAAGATTCCTGTTTATGTATTAAAGGTTTTGCAATAGTGCAAACAAAACATTTAGATTAGAAAATATAATATAAATTATTGTTTTAAACTAATATTTCTATCTTCAGGGTGTCTTCTTTTAAAGATAAGTGTGGAAAGAAAATTAGCTAAAGCTGTAATATACTGAAATATGTGCACTAAACTTCACAGCATCTATGAATATAGCCACACTCATTGCTGCTGTTACTATTATACACAGGTGCAAGGAAGAATGGGCCAGCCTGCTGTTGAAGTGTACCTAAGGATAAATAAGCTGCGGCCACAAAGAGGGCCGAAGCAGCATGGCCTCTCTGGCCTTCCCACACTCCCTGCAGGAATGGATCCATACAGCTCAGCGCAGCAGCCTGGATTAGACCCCACGTACCTTTGTGGAGGGAAAGATTATCCAGACCTCCCTGCATTCACTGACAGGGTTTAAGTCACTCTAGCATGCCAGCAGCCACCCGTCACTTAATCGCACTCTCAAACTCCTTTTTTTTCCTTTTTTGTTGAAATTAAGCAGCTTTTCTGGTGCTGCTCCTCAGAAGTGTGTGGACAGAGCAAAGGTTAGTGATCAGTAATAAAACTGCAGGAAACTATATCTTCTCTATACTGGGATTTGGGGGTAAATTTGAGATAAATAGTTGAACCTTCTACTTGAGATGTGGAGAGAAACTGTGCTTGTTTCTATGCATGTTCTCTAACTGTAGATTAAGACTGAGACCATTTTTAGGGGAGAAAAGTGTTAGGCAGAGCTGTGAATATGCATGATGTGTTTGAATATTCTGGCAGTTAGAACATCTGAATTCAACTTGCTCCCCCTCCTGCTGAGTGCCCAGAGGGCCTCTCACCCCTGTCCTGTGGAACTCTGTGCCCACTCAGCAAGTGCAGGCATATCCCACTTCCATCTGCCTATGACCTCACAGCCCCTGTTTGTTTAACCCTCTCTCCAAAAAACTAACCTAATTATAGCCCTGTAGAACATGGATCCAGAAGATTCCCAGTGGATTTCTCCACTATGTGTCTACCTCTCATATGGAGGACTGAAACCAGGGGCCATGTTTTAGTCGGTCCTGTTTTTCACTCTCCCCTCATATTATGTCAGAACATGTTCTGCCAGTAGCACATCTTGCATGAGTACTCAAAAAAAAAAAAAAAAAAAAAAAGGTGGTAAAAGCAGAAGCGTGCTCCAAGTTTCCTCATTTACGTCAGAGTGATGAGTGGAAAAACTCATTAGACAGATCTCGCTGACAGAAGGACATTTGTGACATCACTAATTCACCTGCCCCAACCGGCTGGGCAACCCTGCAGTCGGAGTGGATCTTCCACCCTCATTTAATCACAGTCTGTGATCTGGTTACTCCCTAAAGCGTGGATCAGAAATCACAGTGGTTTGGGTGTAACCGATGCATGCGGGTAAGGGTTCCACCTAAGATTCAGATTGCGTTGTTTTCTTTGGCTTGGACCTTTAATATAGGCCTGGGAGTGGTAGCTCGGATAGCCCGTACAGCACAGACAAGCCGGTCCAAAGTGGAAGGACTTGTGCGAAGTTCTTGGATTGACAGCAGAGTGTACGAGGTTGTGGAGGTGTGGGGGTTGGGGATGGGGGTTAATCTCCCTGAACCGGGGCAGATGTTGTTAACGAGCTCCTCTCAGGTCGACTCCCTGCGTGGGAAAATGGCATCAAATCCTGCTGGGGTCAGGGCTTTTGGGCTGACCCACTGAGAGCCATCCCTTTTCACTCCACTGTCCTCTCCATCCCTCTTCATTTACTGGCAGCACTCACCAGAGACACTAGAAAATCAAATCTGACCGACTTTGTAGCTCCAAGAGCATGTAGAAGTTTCAAGTCCTCTCTTGAACTTATGTTGGCAGCAACAAGGCGTCTTGCGTGATGTTAATGTCTCATTAATGATAACTGTGGCTGGATCACAGTCAATGACACAACCACAAGGAATGCTGAGTTGGAAATGCTTCAAAGACAAGCATGCCGCTGTTCTGGAAAATGCATCCGCCCAGCTGCAAGCTACAGGTTCTTGTCTCTGTAGAAAGTGAGTTAGTTGCCTTACAGGCCTTTATGCACCAAATACTAAACAAACATTAACATATGCATTGTCAAATATCTCTTAGAAAAAATCATAAAATTTGCTTTCATGCATTATTAAATTGTCAATAGTCTTGATGATTACAAGTAAACCATTCACACAATTTATTTAAACATTTTTTTTTCTGAAGTTGCTTTTGCTTAGAAGTTCAAATGTCATTAACAAGTTAAAACTCTTAACTTTAACCTAATTGAAAGAAAGTCAAGTTGTTTTCACATAGGAAATTATTGAACAATCACAACAAAAATTCTTAAGTTCTGCAAGCCAATCTGCAGCAATGTGGAGTTTTGGTTTCAGGTTGAACTATACAACTGAAACTAACAGGTTTCAGTGGCTAAAGATTGAGAAGGACACAGCTACTAAATGATCAAGAAATAAGAACAACATTAAAATGTGTCATGTTTTATTAGCCTTAATACTATACAACACTACTTCAATGATAACATTTGATACAAAGAACAAACCTAAGTAGAGCCTTAAAAGAAATTTTTTCTTTGTAGAAATACAGCCCATTTGTCAAATAAGCTGCTAAATAAGCTGCTAAAATCCAAAACATTATAAACATTTTAATTCCCATTTTTTCCCCAAAACATCAATAAAATACTGAAAAGTTGGGCATGTGTTTCAGCCCTAGGAGATAGTAATTCCTAGAATAATTTTTACACCAAACACAGCTATAAATCTATAAAGGCAAGTCTTTTATAGCTTCGTAGTGGACTGAACTCTAAACTGGACTCTGCATCACAATCAAAACATTACTTTGAACCACGAATGGGGCTGAAACTTTTATAATCCTTTTAAATAAGACACAACTCAATGTTCTTCTGCATTTTACACCATATTCATTTTGCACTGCACTGAACATTTCCGTATTACTGCCCTTTTGCACCATTTGTTTTCAAAACCAGTTTTCCTTTTCTCTTATACTGTTTACATGCATGATCACTGCTGCACTTTAAAAGGTAATGTTCATTTCACTGATGTAAGCTACTCGTTTCACAGTTGAAGCTGTAGTGAAGTAATTTCTTTTTGTTTACACTCGGTGTTTACAAAATGACAATAAAGTTTGTCTAAGTCTAACAAATTGTTGCCCACGATTTTCTGTAAAACAGAGCCAGGTCAGTCAGATCAGGAGTGGCAACATACATCGTTTTTTTACTCTTGTCACATACTCTTATTTGCACATGTGTCTGGACTAGAATGTGTTCATTCTTACTAGAAAGCATCCTCAGATCTAAATAACTAATTTGTAGCTCTGGTTGCATGTATATAGCCTTTGTAATGCTGGAAAGTAAACTCGGCCCCACTTAGAAATATTTTACCTTCATGAACAGGTTTTCTTTCATAATCAACCTGCATTGTTCTGCACCCTTTTCCCATTGAATATGACGAGCTTCTTAGTCTCACGTTTCCTGCATATCTTATAAGGTTTCAGGATAAACAAATTTCGAAATTGATATTAACACAAGGAAAATACTTGATACCTATTTTCAATAGTGTGGTTACATTTTTTGAAAGCACAGGTTTATTCCAAACCAAGAGCAAAAATATATAAATAAAGCAAAATGAAGTAAAACAAAACAAATATTAATAATGTGACAACCTTGACTCCAATTTTAATTGTGGCTTAAGTAGACACAAGTGTAAAAATGAGGGAAAAGTTGCTTATAGGTTTTTAAATAGGTTCAAATGAATAATAATAAGAAAAAAGTAGGAAGGTCAGTAACGTTTTAAAACATGTAATAAAGTAAATACATTGGAAATAATGAATTAGGTGGTACATTTAAGAGTATTGGTTTATATATTTATGATTTTATTTTGAATTTTGTCAGTATCAGTATTCTATTGGTTCAGCCCTTCTTTGAAGAAATATACAACTTCAGTTTCACTGCCCTATTTATTCTGTTTTTTTACTATTTTTTTTCTGACTGAGCCATCAGCTGATTAACAAATTCCTGTGTTGATTTATACCACAAGCTCAACTGCAGCATGGTTGAAAAATGCACACCTGGGAAACAAATTTCAAAGCAGGAGCTTAGAAGTGACAGAACTCCATCATTGGGCTGTCTGTCTCTGTTAAGCTAATACCAGCAAGTGTTTGCTTATGTTGTCTGGAAGGTTTTCTACTTCATTATTGCAGATACTAGAGCTTTACTGAGCTTTTTACATTGCCTCAACCAGATTTTAAAACTTATATTATTATTATAGTCTGAAGCGTCAGTGAGCAGAGGGGCTGAGCTAAAACAAAAGTGTAATAATTTGGGCTACTGTGAATTGGGTCAGCTTAAATCGATTTTTGATAGAAACGAGTATCTTTAAATAGTTCATTTTTTAACTATCAGCTCTATGGAGGTATGAGTTATTTTGACAACTCTAATCTCCTTCTTGTTTTGTCGCAAAATTTAAGCATCACTTTTTTTTTTTTTTAAACCTTTTGATTTTGCTGTTCTTCAAGATAAGCCAAATTTGTGCAAGACTATTACCGGTAATTAATTTGAACTGAGGCTCTCTGCAGCTAGCCTCGTGAGACCATCCTGATCTCGCGAGCTATCAAGATTTCACTCTCTAATCAGTCTGGAGACTCTCCGTTGAAGAAAA